GGCCGAGCGGGAGCTGCGCTTCAGGCCGCCGGCCGAGGCCCCGGTGCGGCTCTTCACCGAGCCCGAGCTGGCCAGATACGACGGGCAGCAGGTAGGGGCGGGCGGGCGGGAGGGAGGGAGAGCCGCGGCGGGGCCTCCCCGGCCGGTTCTTCGAAGCCGCTGGGCCGGGGCCGGTGGGGCGTCCTGGCGTCGCCTGCGTCCCTGCGGCTCGGTGCCCTGAAACCACCTTAAAACTCGGTTTTCTCGTGCTCTGCTGGTGTGCTATTCCCTCCCTCCCTCCCAGTAATTATGGGATAACTTGCTTTTTAGGCGTTCGTGAGAAGTTTGTTGGCATTCGTGCGTTGCTGACCTGCTATTCATTTGTCCTGCTGGCAGCTGCGGAGTTTGGTCCGTTGAAGTTGGGTACAGACAATTAGATGGCACGATCCTCTTTTACTCATTGCCTGCTTGACGATGTACTCATGCCAGTGAATTTCATATTACCACAAGTTGGAGCCAAAGTAATTTTCTCTCAATAATTCATTAAACCATGTATTTAGACCCTTTTTTTTTCCTATGAGATTATAGAAATAAGAAAGCAATTTCATCTTAAGAGTTTAGCTTTCTGTGACACAGAGGTCTCAGCAAAACTTCACATTCAAAATAATAAGATCCTATGTTGATACACATCTGTTTTCTCTTTCAAAAAAACTTGCTGGCTGACCTTCTCAGGGTCTTCTCTAGATACTTTCAAGAAGCTAACCAGCATCTGACTTAAAATACATCTTATGCATAAAAGACAAATCAGAAGCACTGGCTTATTAAGTAAAACAGATGTCAGCAAATCAGATTTGTGTGTGTTTATGTATTTATCTGTTGTTCTCTTAATCAAATAAAGAATGCTGTTGGCCATACACCCTTTTATCTTGGGCAATACCCATCTGCATTAGGAAGAAAAAGATGCAGTTGATCATCTTCGAGCAGACAAATGTGCAAGACCTGCAAGAGGGACATGTCATATATGATTGTGATGTTTAGATTAAAAAGATTCTCTCATTCCATATGCTTACATCCTCAAAAAAAAAAATCTTGCGGACAGTTTAAAGCACAAGCAAGAAATTTCGAGAGAGATAACGTGTATGCTTGTATACACACACAAACGAGAGAAAACATACATAAGAGAATTTAATTCTCTTCTTTGTGTTCTGAGTGCTTATGGATTTCATAGCTAAAACTAATTGCCTTTTGGCTACGCTTAAGTGTTGAGGATCTACTGAAGGCTTTCTTTACAGGAAGGACAGCCCATTTACCTGGCGGTGAAGGGAGTAGTATTTGATGTCACTTCTGGAAAAGGTGAGTTTGCTTCTCCTCTGCTGTCTACTTTATTTTCATGCTATTATTCAGTCATTAATTTTTAAATATTCTCAATGTATTAGAAGCCTGCAGTTCAATTGCAACAAAAAGAATGTACTTTTTCCTTTTTTGAAAAACTCAGTTTTCTTCTTCTGACACCTCCCCCACTAAGGTGTTGTCTAGAATTTACAGTGGTTTGAGGTTACAGTACACACAGACAAGCCAGCATAGTCCAGTTAGCTTGGGTGCTGATGACAGAAATGCTGAAGACACCTGCCCAGACCCCTGAATCCTCACTAGGCGTGGGGTCATGCCACACAGAAGCTGGCGCTACAGTGTTTTATTGCACTGGGTACATGAACTGACCAGATCAAAGCTAGCTGGGATGTACCCATACTGCACTACACAATATCAGCATTGCTGCAGTTTCATCTTTTCCTTTTGTGCTGGTGTTTGCTTACCTGTGCTGTCCAGCGATCCGGTCAAAACTCTTTGAAGAGTTGACGGTGATTTTGAAAGGAGAGCGGAGGGCTAAGTAATTTTTTTTTCTCCTTTAAAATTTTCGTATTTCATGAGGCTTCTTGTCTCACCATTTACACCTAAACCATTTATTGCTGTATTTGCTGTTTGTGCCTTCCCTAGGAACTACAGATGTTTTAATTTGAACTCCTGCTACTTAATCCAGACTTGCTGTAAAATGTTTGAAGGGACCATGGAGGTCCTGGACACTTGCCTTAATGTCATCATAAGCAAACTAATGGCTTGTTGCTTTCTTTGTACTAAGCTTGTTAGTGCAGCTTGTCTGGACATCCACGTTGGCTGATCTTCAAATCCTAAGTTAGACAAGGCTTGCCCCTGCAAATTCTGGAGTCTACAAACTTCTCATGAGTATGTAAAGCACAGCTCCCTAAATAATAGGTAAATTTTAAGACTGCAGTATAGGAGTTCAACAGTTGTATTGTATAACCCCACCCTCTGTTTTGTGGTTTTTTTAAGGACTGGGATATATTATCAAAAAATAGCAAATCAAAAGTCAGTTTTGGAGAGAAGGATCTGAGACTTGAGTTGCTGCTTTCAGTTCACTGACAAGTGTAACAGGCTGGTGAAAAGTAGAGGCTGAACATACCTTGTACATTGCCAGATCATCACTGGATATTTTTTTTTTTCTAATCTGACAGAATTTTATGGAAAAGGAGCCCCATACAATGCTTTGGTTGGAAAAGACTCAACAAGAGGAGTTGCAAAGATGTCTCTGGATCCAGCAGATCTTACACATGACATAGTAAGAAAATAGACTATTAGTTTAATTCTGTTTTGCAAAGTTTTATTCTTTTGCAAGATGAATGATAATATTAAATTATTTGTATTAATTTTTTAAAGTTGATTCACATCTTTAAAAACTCTAAAAACTGCATTAATATTCTTGAAATACATTAAATGGGTGTGTATTTACTGCTCATGGAAGGTGCAGTGCTAACAGCCTTAAAGAGGAAGGTTTTTAATCTGTGGAATCAGTACAATTTATGTAAGGACGTAAAGGGGAAATTACCTCCTGTTTAAAAAGATGCTTCCAAAGAGAGTAAATCACTTTCTTTGTCAATTGATTTGGCGTATCCTGTGTCACTGACATGGCAGTGGATGCTAACTCTGGCAGTGGGTTGTTGCTTGTTTGAGGTGTGATTTACTTACGAAGGGAAAATGAAGGGAGATTAATGGTTTGTTTGACCTGAATATATTAAAGTTTTGTAAAGGCTGAACTTGAATGAGAAGAATAAAATTACAGGTTATACTATGAATTTGTTAATTGTCTTCTGCAAATTATACCCAAAAGCTGACCCTAAGGTTTATAGTAATCAATAAAAAAGAAAAATGCATATAAATACCTGTGTTTTTATTTCTTTGAGACAGGACTTTCATTTCCATATTTCATTTAGACAGGACTCACAGAAGAGGAACTGAAGTCTCTGGATGATATCTTCAATAATGTTTATAAGGCCAAATATCCAATTGTTGGCTATACTTCTCGCCGAATTCTGAATGAGGATGGCAGCCCCAATCTAGACTTTAAACCTGAAGATCAGCCACATTTCAACATTAAAGATGAGTTTTGAGGAACATTTTTGTACCTAGAGAATGCCTGGGGAGAGGCATAATAGAATATTATATTGATTCCCTGTTTTCTGGAGTTCATTACAACAATTAGCTATCATGAGTCAGTTTTCTGTTTAGAAAATATGTATGTGTGTACACATACAGTTTAGAGGAAACAAATGGATCTATATTAGTGTCATACACTTGGGCTGTTTGTTCTGAATTATGGGAATTATTTCACATGAAAGTTCTTTCTGCCTGGATTTCCCTGTGTACAAGTGTGTAATGTAAAATCACATTCCTTAGAAAAGATAAGGCAGTTTTTAATAGTTGAAACATGATTGGTCTTTTTGTAAATCCCAAGTTGTTTCCTACTCCTTGGAAAAGTGTGAATGCATTATCTGGACGAGCTCACATCAGTTCTCTGTGCTTCACATGAGTGTTGGTATCACATGTACAAACAGGTGTAATAGAGGCTTACATTTTAAAAAGCATTATAGGAATTAATATTTGATAGGTTTGAGAATACTGGATATAAAACCACTCAATCTCTTCAAATGCAGTTACTGTGGAATATTTATGCAAAGCCTACAGCTGTAAACCAAGAAAAAGAATTATTTTTTCCCCCATGAGAACTACTGTGGCATTTTAAGTAAGACTATTATTATGTTAGTTTTGAATAAATGACACTTTAATTTTTTTAAAATAATTATCAAAGATTTCATCTATATTAGATTATGATGATTTCCTTCTAGCTTCCTCTACTCTTTCTCTGATAAAAAAAGGAAACGATAGCCCACTGTTTACCACAAACTCTTACAGCACAAGTTTATTGTAGTAGTTTAGTATCCTGTGGATATTGTTAGCATCTTTATATTGACAATTTCAGCTCTCATTTTTAATTTCTCTTAGTTTTTCTTTGTTCTTACTCTGGCTTCATCATTGCTGCTGCAATGAAGTGTGCATTCATATGTTCCTCTTCCTTTTAACCTAATACAAAACCGCAGATCCTGCACGGTGAAAGCAGACCCCCTTTATCAGGTTTCTCTGGCAGTCTTTCAGCAACAAGAGGACTGTAAAAGCATATGCTACATAAATTGCTGCTAACCACTGACTTTCACTAACTTGAGTAGAATGTAAATTGTCATGTATGTGAATTTATCTGCCAGTGTGACAGGTTGAACTGACATGGAAAAACTGAGCAGCTCCTCCCAATTCTATATAAATAATATAGATGTAATAGAAATACAATTCTATATTTCGTTCTCTTTCTTTAGCATTTTGGCCATTTTCTTTGAACAAAAGATTTTATTAGATGACTCTCCACTTTATGGTGTGCAGGAGACAGCTGCCTGTCAGTTGAATAACTAGAAAAGCTGTTTCTATTTATTTCTCATTTCTTTCCCAATGTTACAGATTTTACTCTAAGCTTGTTTTGTGTATTACCATTAGACCACTTAATTTGCAGGAGGGACTCCATGGCGCTCCCCCGCCCCTGCTGTTGGATGGTGCTGTGTGGTGTAATAAATAATTTAGCATCTAAGAATATACTGTTGCTTCAGAGAACTATTTCTGTTTTATTACTATTATTATTATTACTGCTGACCTTTTGATTAGATACCAACACCAGCTAGGAGTTGGCCCCTTGATGATGCCTGCCTACAGGTATGGGTGTATACCTGCCATCTTTATAGGAATGCATGTGGGTTTAGTGGTAATGGTGGTTGTTCTTTTGCCAGCATTTCACAAATTAGTTTTCCAATGCCTACTGTTTTCTCCCCTTCCCTTCCCTTTGTTGCACGCTTCCTTATGGGGCAGCTTCAGTAGCTGTGTTACGGCGATTACTGTAATAGTCTTGGCTTCATCTGCGATCAGCATATCCAGCTGCGTGTCAAAAATATTGTAGCTAGGTGGTAAACTCATCACCACTGAGTGGTTTAGTGTTGCTATTCTCTCCCTGCTTTTCCTCTTCATGCTATGAAGGTCACCTTTGCTGATCTTGAAGTGGGTAACTCAGCTTCTATTTGTTTCAGGTTCATTTCAGTGAAGAAACCCTCCTGTTGCAACAGGAAACGGGTGATATAAACCCCACTCTTGTCTTGTGAGATCCTTGCAAATCCAAGTTGCCCTCACTCATATATCTGTGAACAGAGGGAGATGCTCTAGTTCTTCTTTTCTGTTATTAAAGACAGGATTATCACAACTGAGGGCATTTTAGAATGCAGAACATTTCCTTTTTATTTCAGTTTGCGAACTGAAGGACTCACATGTAATCATGTGATAGCCTTCCTAGGCTATTTCACTTGAGGTTCCAACTCAACAGAACAGTGTTATGATAATAAGGCTTTAAGTGGGCATATATCCTTAACATGTTTTCACTGACTACTTTTCAAAAATTAATTCAGAGTAACACAGGATTTCTTTTGGTGTTAATTTAATGACACTATTTTATGTCTAAGGTTGTTACTTGCCAACAGCCTGAAACTTACTTTGCTTAAAAGCAAACCGTCTGCTATGGTTGTTTTGTTCAGTAAGTTGCATTTCCCAGACCTCTGTGTTACTCCAGTATGACAGATGTCCTCACTATCTATGCATTGTACTTAAAACAAGCAAATTGTATGCTATCCTTGTTTTTTCAGTCAGCTGCATTTCCCTGACCTCTGTATTACTGCAGTAAAACAGGTACGCTCACTATCTGTAAATGGCACTCAAAACAAGCAAGTTGCGTAAAGCTCTGTTGTATCCTCCTACTACTCCACACCTCCTTTGGAGAGTGAAGAATTTCTTTTCAATTTACTTGCTGCTTCCAGATAACATTGCAAATGTCATTATTTTTGGTCTGCTGTTTGTAAATCTGCATCTTGCTAACTTAACTTGGGTGTTTGAATGGTCTGAGGTTTTAATGAATTGCTGCACCAAGAATTTACTCTTCAGAATGTTAAGAATTATCAGATGGGTTCATTGCTTAGAGGATGCATAACCTGAGTTGCTGTTTCCCACCTGGCACTCTTTTCAATAGTCCCTCACTTTGATCCTAATACATTTGACTAACTGCTGTGACAGGATAGATTCTATCATCTGTACTTTAAGAAGGACTTCTCTGATTAACAACAGGAGCAACAGGACTAATAATATAAGCAACAAAAATTCAATACAGGGCATGCAATGAAATGCAAATCAAAGTATTATCTTTATTTTTGCAGTTGTAGAGACTGCAGTTAAGTGAAATCCTACTAAGAACATGTAAGGTGTGTTAGCAGCTTTTAGTCACAGTTATTAGTTATTGCATCCTAATCCAAACAAGAGCACCTGCCAGAATGCAGGGACTCTGACTCTTGCAGACTGAGTGGCTGAGATTTTTCCAACAATTTGGGATTAGACACAAAGTTATTTCTTTCCTAACTGTAATGTGTATATGGACACCGTTCTTTTTGGGGCCCTTTGTGAAAATATGACTGTTTCATTGATTTAAGTGAATTACTTTCGGTATTAGTTTTCTTACGCAGAAAAGGCTTTGTGTTCCTTTGAAAACTGCAGCCTAGGCTAATATTCTTTGTGGTCTGATAATATCAGCTGTAAATTCATAACAACATAGGAATCAGTGTAGGATCATGTTTCAGACTGCACTTGTCAGACCTGCCAGACTTCCACGTTTCAGTAAAAATTAAAAGAGGATGCTTATCTTTTTAAGTACAGTGCTTTGGAATGGGAGAAGCCTCAACACAGCTTATAAATCACTTTAACTTTTGTTTCAAAACCACCATTGGGCTACACATTGAACAAATGACAGTTTGGAAAGGCATTTAATTGCTGCAGTTTTTCCTTTGCAAGACTCCCAAGAACATGTAGAACTCACTTGATAGTGCAGGAGAGAAAACAGGAAAAAAATGGTTTAGCTGACTTTTACAAATGTATTCTGTCTCTTTTATAGATAAATATATTTATCTGAAACGTGCTCAATGTAAGTTGCATCTGCTCAAGAGAAAATGGAAGAGATGTGAAAAATTTCATATAGGAAGTCCAATGCTAATTTTTCAGCTGATCTGGTTAAACTGAGAAGAAGAAAAAAAAAAAAAATCAAAAAAACTTCTGACTACTTCTGTGAGTGAAAGGCTGCCGTTCAGTAGGATTCAGCTGCACATCAGTAAGATGTGCTAAGTAGCTCTGATTAATATTTGCATATTTTCAGATGATCACTGGATATTCTCAGGGATGTCTTGAAGTCCCAGAACTGACATCAATGATGACAATCATATACTTTGTTATCCATCATTTATGCTTTTGCTTAATGTTTTTCTGTCCATACAGGAAACAATATACAAGCCATGCAACTTCTATGACAAATCCATGCACCATGAGTAATAATATTCAGATAAAGTAAAACGTGCATGAACCTACAACCTGAAAGCTATTTATGTGGTATACAGAATGGCTGTTTTCAAAGAAAACCAGTCCTTGTCTGTGAATGCTTTGATTAATACAAACCAAAAAAACCCCTTACCTTAGATTTGTAATAATTACTTCACTCAGAGCCCTATCTGCAAATGTTGATTCAAATAGTTATAGAATGTATCTGACTGCTTTGACAGAAAAATCAGTGCTATATCAAAAGGTGGTATTTTTTTTTCCACTATTCAATCAGACTCTCAAAGAACTAAGTGTATGATAGGTGGGCATCACTGGTAGAGGTACTCTAATAGCATAGGCATGATTTTGATCTCGACATGACCAAAAAAACCCCTAACCCAGAAAACAGAGTAGGTGGGAAATGAGAATGTATCTTAGTGTGTTATTGGGGCAGTTTATAGTGGTAAGGTAAATATGGCAGAGCAGTACATGCAGGACTGATAACAGACAGTGCTTCCTATTTTTCCTTCTGTCAAATATGGTCAATGATAACAATGTAAACTTGTACCCTTACCCATCTGTTGGTCTTTACATAATGCCTTCTGTTTTGACTTTTTTCCTCCTGTTCAGTAGAAGGTGTGAGTCCTAATTTACTTGTTTACAAAACCTGTGCTTAGATCTTCTTGGCTTGGGTTATCTGTTGACAAGAAATCCAAATAACAGAAACAGAGATTAACTTTCTGTGAAAAATAGAGCTTGTGCACCTGGATAAACTGCAGAGCCACAGGAACTATTCTTGAATAAACAATTCCTATTCTTGTTTCCCATAGGTTATTTGTAGCTGTTGCCATCAGAAATTTTGCACTGTTAATGAATGTTCAGATTATTGTGTTCTGCAGTACTTGACATAAGCCTTTATCCTTCTGACATGAGACATTATCCTTCTGAGAAGTGAAAAGCTTAGAAGAATCTGGGTGCAAGCCATCTTGGAGATAAGCCACCCAAGAAAAATCAAAATATGACATAATTTTCCCTCAACTTAAAGAAACCTCTTTGAAAAAGAAAAAGAAATCAATGTCCCAATGTCCATTTTTACTTTCCAGATTTTGCTGAAATTTTTCTGATACTGTGCAAAGGCAGCAGTTAAAGCAGAGACTTGGATCTAACCCTTGCATTGTGAAAATCTGAGTCCACTTCTTGGCATATCTACTTGGGCTTTAAAGATTATGACAACATAGATAGTAGACTGATTACAAAGAGTCGAGTCAAACACATGAACTGAATCCAAACAGGCCTAAACTTGTAGGAATGTTTCAATGTAGAGCTGAACTTAAAGCCTTGCACCCTTCTTTTGTAGACAACAGAATCTTTGAATGAAAAAACCCTTATGGTAGCATTTGTTTCAGCCAGTTTGGACAGATAGAATTAGATGACAATTGAAGTGAAAAATTCCCAGTGCCTCGTTCTGTGCTCCTTTGCAGGGATAGTAAAATCAGTTGTGTTGGATATGCAGAGCATATTTACCAAGCAATTAACTGCCTGGAGCATAATTTTATAGATTAAATTGATAACTTTGGTTCGAAATAGCTGTCGCAGATCAAGAGTATTCTAGGAGGCTACTCTTCTCACTGGAGGCTGTGGCTAAATATCCTTTATTTTACATTGCAGTGCTCTTTTGGTAATGATCACAGATAAAGTCCAAGTAACTCAAACTTACTCATTACATTTAACCCTTTATTAAATTTTATGTTTGAGCAAAGCTCTTAAAAACATAGTCTCGTTAAAAAAGAATAAATATTGCTCCACAAAAAGCAAAGTGTTCATTCTGAACTGCAGAACTGTGCAGCCATGCATCAGACCTAAGTATACTTACAGCACAGTGTTAATTGAAGGGATTACATGTTTAAATTGAGATTATTTTCTTA